AAAAGAAAATTATAGAAGTTTTGTGGAAGAGGAACCCTGAGAAGTGTTTTATGCATGGTCAAGCTGGCTAAGATTGGAATGAATTTAATTAAGTAAATGACTTTTAATATCAAAAGTATACTGGTGCAAAATTAGTATTTGGTTTTTCTCTCTACTAAAGGACAAAGTCTTCTCAGATCTCAGGTTGGTTCTTAATAAGAAATTATGAACAAAGTTTCTTTACCTTTAGTGTAATCTGCCTAGGAAACAAAGATTCTGTGTTTTATCAGGTCTTCGATTACTTAGAAAAGTTGAGTCTTTTCTATTAAAAGAGCTAAGATTTTGCAGCTATGTAACCACTATATTTGTCTTTGAAGTCTTTTTGTCACTTTGGTTAAACAGATAACTAAATATTAAGTTTTATAATAATCTGTGATCCTATTTAGGCAACTGTTTTAAAATCTCTGATATTTTTGACAAACTTCCCCAAATCAGATTCTAAATGAAGTCTTTTTTGACCTCTAGCTAACTTTGGGATTTTTCAGAGGATCTCTGAAATATCTAAAAAGATTTGTTCTCTCTCCTTATGAAAAGATGGATATCAAACTAATGAGGCTTATCTGATATGTTAAATTACATGGGAAGCATTGTTAAGTAGCAAATAACGTAAGCCTTCTTTATACTATGTCTTTATTAGTATATGTTTTAAGAGTTCCAGAAATTACATGAAATTCTTGGAAATTTAATATCCTGGTATAAAATGTTGTCTGTCATCAAAATTGAGGCTCACACTAAACATGAGGAAAGTGCTTTAGCTGAATTTCATGCGAAGGCAGTAACAACAGAACCTATAAAGGTTATGACGCACATAGATGAAGCTCATTCTCCTTCTGCAAAAAAAAAAGACCTTTCCTTGTCAGACTTTTGCCAGCCAGATATCCTCTAACATGGCAACAGTCTTCTCCCGAATCAGAGAAATTAAGATGGGTAAACAATGGCGTTAAATTAAAGGAACAAACAGGGCTATGGGAAATCCAAGATGGCCACTTGGCTCTTCCTGGCTACCTGGCAAACCCCATTTTTCATTCCTTCACCCACCAAAGTGCATTAAGAAAAACTATTTCTGTCCCCAGAGGCCTCAAACTTCTCCCTCTGGATCCTTTAAGCACCTACAGCTAAATTTCATTCAACTGCTACTTAGTATGGGTTATTACTATGCTCTTGTTATCGTACGTACGTTTTCCAGATGGGTTAAAGCCCTCCCTTGTCACAAAGCTGATGCTCTCACAATGGCAAAGAAACTGTTAAAAAATGCATTTCCCACTTGGGGTACACCTTCCACAGTCTCCAGTGATCCAGGCACCCACTTCACTGGGCAAATCATATGAACCGTAACAAAAACCTTTCAAACTTCTTGGAATTATCACTGTTCCTATCATCCTCAATCATCAGGCAAAGTTGAGAAAACTAATGGAAAAACTGGATTCAAGCAGAAGAAATATTAAATTAGATGGGACAACAGGAACTGAGGAAGATGCTCTAATGTTTTGTTTTTCCAGATTTAAAGAAATCTTTTCTCTTAAGCTAGCAACAATTTGGTAAGATATACCTTTGTGAACAAAGATGAAACATTTACTTTTTCTCCCTACCTTATCCCTCCAGAATTCAGAAACTCTCAGTGAGTATTCTCATTTTCACTTATATAAATAATCAGGCCAAGTTTTTAATATAAACAAATTAGTTTTACTGTGATTATCTTTGGTAAAAAAAAATTGAGGGTAATGGTAGAGAGAAAAATTATATTTGCCCCTTTGTAGATACAGGATTCTAGTCATGTTAATTGTCTTTGAGATTTTGTTATATACCTGCAAACTGGACTCCCCTGGCCTAGGGTATTACTTTTGGTCTCACTGACTGTTCACAGTACCCTCTTTGGAAAGCATGAACTGACTCCACATGAGATAGTCACCAGCAGATCAATGTCTATTGGTACAATCTACTCCTGATCCCTTGTTGTCTTATGCTAGTATGACCAGATACTGTAAGTCTCTGAGATGTCTTATGCTCGAGCCTATTATCAACAGGTTAAAGAAGCTTTCCCAGATCCCAATTTAAAGGAGCCTGTTGGTCACGGTCTACAGCCTGGTGACTGGATATTCTGTAAGTATCATCAGAGAAAGACAGCCCTTGGGCCCCATTGGAAAGGACCTGACCAAGTGCTCCTAAACACCTACACTGCTGCAGAACTAGAAGGCATTGAACCTTGGAGATACATCTCACAGCTAAAGAAGGCTCCACCTGACATCCAGTCCTGCACAAACGCTGGGGACCTCCAAATCAAGTTGACTAGAAGAGAGGCAGCTGACACTAAGGCGGACAACTTTCCCAAGATGGCCAGACCACGCCTGTATACCTTTTACTCGCTGTTGCTTCTTACCTTATTTTCTTTCTCTCTTTCTTGGAAAGACAATACTCATCTGTATCTCCCAATCTATTACAAAAGGGGGAAATCTTTCTGACTATTGGGTTTGTCATCAGAAGCCCCATTCTGTACATGAATCTAGAGAATACTTTAGTACATTTAATTACCTATCTCTCTGCCATTCCTCCCCTAACTCACTATACTAAGCGTCTAGAACTTCTTGCCTAACCAATCAGACCTCCAGAGATTTAAGAGGCAACATTAAATACCTCTTGTTTTACTTGGGTAGACACCTCTGGCAAGGTAGAGACAGAACTAGACACAATTCGGGCACAAGCCAAATGCTTAAATGCAGTGCCCCCTGACATCCTCTGGTTCTTTGATCTCTTTAGCTGGCTGCCCTCAGGAATTGCCTCTTGGTTTGGGTCTATTCTCCAATTTGGACTTAGCATTTTGTTTGTTATTATAGGAATTCTCCTTGTTGTAAAACTTCATCTCCTCCGCATATCTCAATGTTATAAAAACACCACTTGGATAATGGTTACTCAACACTTTGAAATGATTACCAGGGCTTATGCAACTTCACATGAGAAACCTCAAGGAACTGCAGCAGATGATTACCCTTAAAAGAACTTGGCAGTAGAGCCTTTCTCTGCTCTGATGTTCCTGTTGCTCAAATGCGGCCTAAAGGCTCCTAAGGAAACTGCTTTCCCTTCTTTGTGGGACATCACATACTGGGAATAAGCCTTTCTGGGCGACAAGGGACCATGCTTTGATGGTTGGTCAGAAATGCTTTCCAATAGTTGATCAGCAATGCTTTCCAGTGTTTGATCAGCAATGCTTTTGAAGAAAGATCTTGACCAAGAGGAGAAAATGTGCAAGATGACATGAGTGGAGCCATATTAAAATAGAGCCAGAGCAGCCATTTCAGAGGAATTGCCTTGCATGTCTTGTGTTCCTTATCTTCCAAACTGCAGCAAACTGCCAGCATTCCAAAAAGTCAATAAGGCCAAGAGTATCCTGCTTGTAAGGACTGATGAAACTGGACTTTGCTGATGACCAAACGCTAACCAGTGCATGAAGTACAAGTCTAGCCTTTTGCCTGTTGACCCAATCTCAAGCCAATCTATGAAGTACAAACCTAGCCTGGCCTCATCCAGCACCAGTGAACTCTTCCTTAATACAACTGACCTCATCCTCCTCCTTTTTTTCCCACAAAAACCCTGAGCCCCTCTCTTGTAATTGGAGCACGTTTGAGTTTCTACTTGAATCTGTGCCTCTCAAATTGCAATTCTTGAGTCCCCAAATAAACTTCTTGCTTCTCTTGCAGTTTATGCCTCTTACTTGTTAACACCTGGAACCTGCATTTTAACACCTTCTCCAGGTTATGCTGAGCCCGCTGGGTCTTAGACTACACCAGGAAAGCCGGGAAGCATAAGGTCAAGGTTTTCCACACTCAGAGTCCAGAGGAGGTGGAAAGGCACTCAGTGGGGACCCAATCTAGGCACGCATGCCACTGCTACCCTCACTCCTTGCTCCTAGTACCCTAACAAGATGACTCTTGTTGGGGGAGAGACTGAAGCAGCCCTTCCTCGTCCTCAGGGTGCAGCATAGACTTTTGTGTTTGTGAAGGTCTACCAAAGCCATGGTCCCTGCGACCAAAAGCGCTGGGGATGACTGGCCAGAGAGGTCGCCAGCCCAAAGTTCTTTCTATATAGAGGGTACCCCTCAGAGGCCAGCGTCGAAGCCACAGCCCGCCCCACCCCCCATCGCCACGCCGCCCCCAACCGCTGTGGGAACGGTGAAACACCATGCATAGCAGCTTTCTGGGGCTCCAGTGAGCTGCTGCGGGGCAGGGGAGAAGGGGTGGTGGCGGTGGTGTCAGCTCTGCCCAGATGGCGACTGCTGCTGAAGCGCGACACTGCTCTATGGAGGAGTGGAGAAAAAGCTGGCCACCCCAGATTCTAATCAGAGCGCGCAGGAGAGGAGGAACTGGCGCTGCTTCAGCGGTGAGGATGGGTCGGTGAGGTCCAACCACTCCTAAGGACGGCTACTGCCCCAGCCTAAAGGGAGGCATACCCCCATCCGAGGAGCCCCAGCGGGAACGGAAGAACACGGCCGACCTCAGGGATCTGCAATGTGAGGGAGGAAACCGATCAAGCCCGCGGGAGTCTCCAGCCTGAGGTGAAGACACAAGGCTAGCCTCACAAGCCCTTATTCTGAGTCTAAAAGCCACCTTTCTGCTCTCAGGGGACCCAAAGCGGATTTCTACGAACCAAGGTCCGAGAACTTCTCGGTGGCACGCGGCCAGCCCCGCGCGGGGGAGAGTGCGCGCAGCCGTCGCCCAGTCCTAACTCAGTAACACCAGGCGGCAGCGCGGGGCGGAGGCGGTTAGGCTTTTCGTCCCAGGCCAGGTCGCTCCAGGAGCGCAGGGGCCCGGTGCTCCGGTGCTGCGCCGGGGCGTCCTTTGCAGCCGGCCACCTCCTCCCCCTTCCTCGCGGGCTTTTGCACACGACGCGCCACGGGCCGCTTCACACCGGGCGGCGGAGGCCGGATAAAGCGGGCGGACGCGGGGCGCAGCGGCGGGCGCCGAGAGGCAGGAGCGCTCGGCGAGCGGAGCAGGTGCTGGGGCAACAGCGGGACGGCCCCACGACGACCCCGGCAAGGCCCGGGTCGGAGCAGCGCGCGAGGGGCGCACACGCCGGGGCGGCTGGGGCGGCGCGTCGGGCCCTGCCGGCAGGTGAGTGCGCGCCGCCGAGCGTCCCGCGCGCAACTTCAGGAGCGCACTGGGCCCGGCGACAGCGCGCGGCTTCCGGGACCCAGCGCAGGGCGCGCGGGGCCGCATGGAGGCCACGGAGAAGCAGCATCTGTTGGACGCCAGGCCCCGAGCCGGGTAAGGCGAGAGCCTGGGAAGGAGCGGGAATTTGAGCTGCATCAGACGCACCTCCTCGCTCGCCATCCTGGCAGTGGATGGTTTGGGCGGCGACTTGAACTGGGACCACACAGGAGGGGTGGGGTGAGGTAAGGAAAAGGGGAAATCGAGCGTGGGCACGGGGATCATCCCTCTTTCGCGGCTGAGCAGAGATTCTGAACCCTGCGACTAGTGGGGAGTCGGATGCCTGAAGCCCCGCCCCCAGGCCCGGCACTTTGCCCCTGGCAGCCCTGCCCTGAGAGGCCCTGTGTCCCCAAGTGTGCGAGATGGGGGTCTGCCCTTTTCCCTGAGCCTTAGCGTTGTTTCTTCTCCGTGCTTGGCTGGACCAGCCCCGCCCCTTGGCCAGTTCCCAAGGTCTTTGCCTCCTCGGGGCCCTGGGAGGGATGCGGGAGGAGGGAACACCCTAGGCCAAGGCCCCAAGACTCCTGGACTGGTCGTTCCCTCAGCACCCACCTCCGAACACGGGCTTCTGGTCACTCCTCAAGGACTGTCGAGCTTGGAGTGTCCTTAGCTGTTCTTCCAGTTGGACACATGGGAATGCCAAGGCCCCTCAGAGAGACAGGACTGGAGTCAGCCCTCCTTACCCCATCTCGGAACTGAGTCTCCCCTCTCTCTTCCTCTGCGGCCAGGTCTTACAAGGGATCTCTGAAGCAGGATGGGTCTGGCTGGATCCCTCTGCCTCCACCTGGCCTGGACTTGCAGGCCATTGAGCTAGCCACTAAAAGAAACCATTACTGCCACGCCCAGAAGGGTCTTGACAGTCACTGTGACCCCAAGAAGGAGCGAGCAGGGCGCCAGCTCTGTGTGGCTTCTGCCATCTGCCTGGTGTTCATGATTGGGGAAATCATTGGTAAGGACTTTTGTGCTAATTAAATGAAATTGATGCATGGATAGTCTGGATGATCCAAAAGGCTTTCTCCTGGATGTTCCCAGTAATATTAATACTAATAGCCTTAATTATTGAAGACTTACTATGATAAGTCCTTTATTTACACACTATCTCAAGCAGTCCTCACAACAACCTTGTGCTGTTGTATGGGTGCTGTTATTTTCCTGATTTTATAGATGATGAAACTGAGGCACGTTAAGGTTAAGTAACTTGTCCAAGATCACACACAACTAGTAGGTAAGGGAAGGCCTGAGTGCCTAGAAGGAAAGAGCGTTTACTGAGTGCCTACCATGCTTTCCAGGCCCTGTTTGAACTTGATTTTCACATTTACCCTCTAAGTAGATGTCGTTAGTCCCATTTCACAGATAGCAGAAGTTGAGGCTCAGAGAAAATAAGTCACTTGTCCATGGTTACACAAGCCAGTGGATAGAGAGGTCCCCAATCCAATGTCTTTCTCCAGAGCCCATGATTTCCCTGCTGCACACAGTCTGGGAAGTTGGCTGATAAGGACCCTCTATCCTTCTGCTCCTGCCCCTGCAGGTGGGTACCTAGCACATAGCTTGGCGGTCATGACAGACGCAGCCCACCTGCTCACTGACTTTGCCAGCATGCTCATCAGCCTCTTCTCCCTCTGGATGTCCTCCCGGGCAGCCACCAAGACCATGAACTTCGGCTGGCAGCGAGCTGGTGAGGGCCCAGATTGGGATGGGGATGGGGTTGGGAGAGGAGGCTGGTCCAGACATGGGTTCTTGGGTGGCTGCAGTGGGTGGAACCCTGAGTGAGGCCAGGAGAGTGACCTGAATGGGGGAAGAGGATGTCAGTCTTGGCCTCTGTCCTTTGGGAGCTCTCTGTCTGATGGGGGAGCCCTGATCCTCTGTCCTCTGGGAACTCCCAGCCTGCAGGGAGGGAGACTTTACCTTCCTAAGAAATGAAATGGCCAAACTTCAAGAACAAATGACTGTGGCATTAACTCTGCACATAACTCCCTGGATCAGCTCTGGGGGGCAGGAAAGTTCAGCAGAGCCTTCTGGAAGATTCAGGCTTTAAACTCTTTTTAGTTCATCTCTGGGCTGTATTGTCATTTTCCTCTTGGGGGGAGATGATGACCCAGCCTCTCTTCCTCAGAGTCTCAGTTTGCCAGTTGAGCAATAGGTATAAATTTTAATCAGTCAGTTTCTTTACATGTAAAACAAAAAGGGTTGACCCAGATGATTTCTTAAGTTCCTTCCAGCTCTGACATTCTCAGATGTATGAGTGGTAGGGTAAGGTGCAACCATGCCGGCCACATCTTGAGCAGAGCTCACTCAGACCCAGACTCTGACTTTCCTGGGAGGTGGAGAGGAGACCATGGAGGGAAGGGGAGGCCTCCTTAGCCTTAGAGCCCCATGCTAAGATTGGTGTTGGGGTCGGGTTCTTCCTCAGAGATCCTGGGAGCCCTGCTTTCTGTGCTGTCCATCTGGGTCGTGACTGGGATACTGGTGTACCTGGCGGTGGAGCGGCTGATCTCTGGGGACTATGAGATTGAGGGGGGAACCATGCTGATCACGTCAGGCTGTGCTGTGGCCGTGAACATCATGTGAGTGTGGTCTTGTTTCCCTGTGAGTCCTCCCTCCTCCCACTTCTCACATGCTTACCTACGTGCCTGCTCTCGGTGGAAAGAGGCCATGCCGCACTCCAGTATGGGCCACAGGAAAAGAATTTCCCTAATGGTCTGAGCTCTGGCACCTGGAACACCTAGGTCCCGCCTTAGGCCTAGGCCATGGCCATCGGGAGTTACAAGTCTAGGGCAGCATCAACTCTACACCCCCTCCCATACATTTCGGTGAACAACCTGGGAGGCTTCATACCTGGAGTGGGGAGGGGTGAGTCTAGTTCTTGCCAGAGCGGATGTCCCTAGGGGCAGAATCCAAGTCCCTTTTCAAGCTGATGTGCCTGAAATTGGTCTCAGTGAGAGGCAGGGTGTTTAGAGCATGGGGGTCTCATTTGGGCTTTCTCCCTTGTTCAGTGGCCTTGGGCAAGCCACTTCCCTCTCTAGGCCTCAGCTTCCCTATCTGTGACATGGTGGGGGGAACTAGATGACCTCATGGTGCCCTCCTACTCTGAGATTGGACACTGGGGCATCTCTGTGCCCAGATTCAGCCTGGTTTCTGAAAGAGCTGAGCCCTTCCTCCTGTGGCCCTCTGAACCAAGGCCATGTGGGTTGGGTTCCTCACATGGCCAAAGGGCTCATGCAGTCTGGGGGGTTTAGATTTTTGCTCAACGGAGGCCAGCCCTAATGGGTGGCATCTACCTGCTACCTCAGTGAGCCCCTTGGCTTGTCTCCACTTCTGTAGAATGGGGTTGACTCTTCACCAGTCTGGCCATGGGCACAGCCATGACACCAGCCAGCAGCAGGAGAACCTCAGTGTCCGAGCTGCCTTTATCCATGTGATTGGAGATTTTCTGCAGAGCTTGGGCATCTTGGTGGCAGCCTATATTGTATACTTCAAGGTCAGAGCTTGGGACAGAGGGAAATAAGCTGTGGGGGTGGGAGAGAGCAGGGGAGTGTAGATCATCTGGGGGCTCCTCTCTGCACAGGTCCCTTTCCAGATTCTAGCTCCCTTCCAGCTCTGGGCAAAACGATGGGGAGAGGGAAGGAACATTTATCCAACACCTCCCATGTGTCAGCACTTCTGATCTTCATAACAACCCTGAAGGGTAGGTGGTGCTGTTTTCTGCAGCCCAGAAAGGTTCAGTGACTTGCACAGTGTCAAGCAGCTGGTGAATTGTGGAGCCAGATTCAAACCCAGGACTGTGTGCTGCTGAAGCCCGAACATTGCCTACCACATAGAGGCAGTGTGGTGTAGTGGAAAGAGCCAGTTGTTGGGTTTGGAGCCTGGCTCCACCCCTTGCTAGCTGTGCGATGTGGAGTGAGTCCCTTGTTCTAATTGATCCTCAATTTCTCCATTTATAAAATGGGGATGTTGGACCAAATGATGTCTAAGATTCCATGTCTCAGTCCCTTAGGCAAGGAGGGTGGGAAGGGATGGTGCCTTATCCTGAACTGTGGTCTGTCCTGCCTGTTTTTCTGGACACGGAATGAAAGGTAGAGAGCTGGGAGGCAGGGCCAGGGTAAGGCTCATGCCCACTCTGCAGCGAGACCCTCTCCCTGACTCAGTGCTGGGTGGGAAGGAAGAAGGGAAGCTGAGGTGTTGGTGGTGACCCCCAGCTCTGCCTTCCCCTTTTCCTGTAGCCAGAGTACAAGTGTGTAGACCCCATCTGCACCTTCCTCTTCTCCATCCTGGTCCTGGGGACAACCATGACCGTCCTGAGAGATGTGATCCTGGTGCTGATGGAAGGTAACCTGGGCTTGGGGCTCCCTTTGTGCTCTTGGCTCCCCAGCTCTAGTTGAAGTTCAGGGCGGGGGAATCCCAGCACACTGGCGGGGAGCTGTGGTCTGGAGCCTGGCATAGGCTGGAAACTTCCTGGGGCTCCAGGCCAATCTTGGCATCAAACTGGGCCCTCAGGTGTGGCTGTTCCTGGAAATGTCCCCTGGACCGTGCCTTACCTTCCCCCTGGCTCCAAGGGTGCCTCCTCCCTGCTGAGATGTGTCCTCCCTGCCTAGTCAGGTGGCTTCTGGGTGGTGTCTGTAGCACCTGACACTCCAGCCCTTCCCCATATACTTCCTTTCTCCAGTTGCCTTCCCTCAGGCAGAAAGGGGTGAGGATTATGCTTCCCATTGCACAGGGTGGCAGACAGAGACTCAGAAAAAGACAGTCAGTGTTGGACAAGGCTACTGAAGCCACTCCAGCCAGGCCTTCCTTTCTGCGGCTCCTGCCTGGGGAGGACATGGCTGGGCCTCGTGGGGTGGCAAATGGTCTGCCCTGAGTTACCACACTCATTCATTGGCTTTCATGGTGCCCTAGGGTCTTGAGTCATGTGCCTCTGTGTGGTCAAGGTCAGTCTGAAGTTGGGTGCCAGTGTGGGGTCAGCAGGTGTCCAGGTGCAGGTCAGAGATTTTCCTCCAGGGTGACTGACCCAGATAAAAGTGATGATGATAATGCTCCATGTGGGTGTGGGGATCCCCAAGTTCCCTTCTTTCCTTCTTTCTTCCATTCAAAAAAATATTTGTTAAGCATCTACTATGGGCCAGGCACTGTTCTAGGCACTGAGGATACGGTGGTGAACAAAACAGTCCTGCTCTCAGGGAGTTTCCATTTTAGAGGGGGAGACAGACAAGAAACTAACAAATAAGAAAATTTCCAATGGTGTGGAGTGTGAAGAGGAAATTACAACAGAGTGACGTGATGGAGATCATTTGGGAGGTGAGGCAGTGTCGGATCTGCCGGCCAGGGAGGTCTTCTGTGGGGAGGTGACATTTGAGGAGCAGGAACGAGCATGGGTGGGAGGAAGCAGTTTTCTTCAGCCCCTGTCCCTGCTGTCCTCAGGGACCCCCAAGGGCGTGGACTTCACGGCTGTGCGGGATCTGCTGCTGTCTGTGGAGGGGGTGGAAGCCTTGCACAGCCTGCATATCTGGGCGCTGACCATGGCCCAGCCCGTGCTGTCTGTCCACATTGCCATCGGTGAGTGGTCAGGATACTCAGGGCAGGGTGAGGGAGAGAGGCAGCCAGAGGCCTGGGGCCATCCCCAAAGGGTCCAGCAACCTCAGATGCTTGCAGAGCCCACGTGTTGAACCCTGCCCCATGCCGAGTACTTTACACACAGTATTTCATTTGATCATTTATAGATGAAGAAACTGAAGCTGGGGGTGGAGTGGGATGGTAAAGTCACTTGCCCAGGCTTCTACAGCTAATAAATGGCAGAGGAAAGATTCCAAGCCTTAAAGCCAGTGCTTTTCCTGCCCTTTCAGGATTGTGCCAGGCACGGGAAGCAGAGGGTTGCCTGGTGCAGGACTGGAATCTGGGTGTTCCTTGATGGCTCATGGTCCCCCATCCTGTTCTGCTGGGGGTGGGTGTAAGATAGGCTCCTGATTGTTCCTAAGGGCCCAAGAGTGAGTAAACGCTTCTCTGGTGCCTCCCCTGGTGTGTCCTCTTGGCCCCCAGCTCAGAATGCAGACGCCCAGGCTGTGCTGCTGGCGGCCAGTGCCTGCTTGCAGGGGAAGTTCCACTTCCACACCATGACCATCCAGATCGAGAACTACTCTGAGGACATGAAGGACTGTCAGGCATGCCAATGCCTGTCGGACTGACTGCCTGGCCAGGTGCCAACTGGGGCGTGGACAGGACCTGCAGATGGCGGGGCTGAGTGTCCCCCAGGCCCAGCCAAGACTCTGCCTACCCCGGCTGTAAACCGGGGTCCCTCTCCTGACCTCTGCTCCATGTTCACTGTGGAGGAGCCTTGCCCCACTCCAAGGATGGGGCTCTTCCCCTAAATCCCCCATCTGACTACAGCCAGCCTCAGGATGGGGACTCGGCAGGTGCAAAGCTAGTGTGACCCCGCTGCTCCAGCTCCTGGGTCGGCTCCTGGCGGGGCTGGGTTTGTGCCTAATCCTCAGCTAATGCTCTCCTACCACCAGCCTCGGGAAATGCAGGGAGGCACATGAGGAGTGATAGAGGAGACTGGCCTCAACATGCCCTCGCCTACCTGTTCCATTTCCCTTTTTCAGTGTGTCTCGCCTTTGCCTTATGAACCTCTAAAGAAGCTCTGGAACAGAGCCCCCTCCCTCTGCCTCTAACAATATAGTTTAAAGGGACTATGGGGGTTGGGGAGCTGTGAGGACCCTGCACTGTCATATGTGTCCCCCTGAGATGGGGAGCCAGGGGACATTGAGGCCTGTCTGTGCCCTAGTCACTTCAGCTGTGAGCCAAATGTTTCCCTTTCCTGGAGGGAGGAGGTTTCTGAGTAGGAAAAGACCTGGTTTCCTGCTTCCTTATTCCCCAGCCCAGGAAGCTGTGCCAACAGCCCTTGCCATGGGGGTGAGAGGGCAGAGACTTCAGCTTGGGTCCTTCCCCAACAGCCTCACAGTCCCCAGGCCACTTCTCTTGCCCTGATGGTATCCCGGGGGTCGCAGAGCCTGAAATCAGATATGATTGGGCCAGCTCTGTTGCCAGTATGGCCTGACCTGCTCTGAACTTGGGGCTGGAGGACAAGGAAGGCCTGTGCACTGGAACAGGAGACAAGGGCTTCCTGGGGTATGTGTGAAGATTCCTGAATTGGGGGGTGGCTTGTGTTTACAAGATGCAGGGGGAGACCTGTCCCCAGTCTCACAGAGGAGGCAGCCTGCCCCGTCATCAGGTAGCCCTCATCTAGTGGTCTGTCTCTGCCATTACAAGCAAGTGCCCTTAGGCAATTCAGTGCCTCAGTCTCTTAGTCTGTCCCCTGAGAATGTTAACACCCACCTCACGGGGTTTTGTGAGGATTGGAGCCAAAGTCTGCGAAGCACCTGGTGGCTGTTGGAGAGTGGTTACTTTTATCACCACGCTGGAGAGATGAGGCCTGAGGCTGCCTTGCTGAAGAGCCAGGTGGGCTCCCCAGCCTCCCCAGGAGCAGCACTGAGTTTGTCTTGACTGTCTTCTGACCTGTGGCGGCAGGAGGAGGGGTTGGTTACTCACATTCCCCTCTGAGCCTCTCTTTTCCCATCTGTGAGATGACCTCTTTGTGCCTTTCCAGGACTGTCCTCTGGGGTTGCCTGTGATCTAGGTCAGTGGGTTCTTCAGCCCCTTAAAATGTGTGGAAAGTCATTTGTGTTGTCTTGGAAGTGTGTGTGTGGGGGACTGCTGGTGGCCGAGCTCCCCTCCACCCCAATCTCAGGGGAATCAAATATCCCCTTCCCCCCAGCCATGGCAGGCCCCAGGAACCTGGATCCTGGGCTTTAGTCCTTATACCCTCTCAAGAAACAGTCATTGCCATCCTCCATTTTTACAGATGAGAAACTGAGCCCCAGAGACGTTGAGTCACTTGCCTGAAGTCACATAGCCAGTGCGAGGTGTCTGGGATTTCTGCCTCATTCCCCTAGGCTTCCCTTTACAGCAGGGGCTGGGGACCTGCTCTGGGCTGCATGTTGGTACAGTGTGAGCTGTTGGGCCTGGCAGTGCCCTCCCCATGGGCAATGCCATGCCAAGGCAATTCAGTGTTCTGGGTGCTGCAGCTGTGAGTGGGGAGGGGAAAGGTGCCTCTTTTCCCTGGCTGGGCCTGGCACTTGGCGTCCTCCCCACCCTGGGAAGGCTGCCTGGGCTGCAGCTGTGTGCTTCCTCACTCACCCTCAGCTGTTCTTGACTCTGGGCCAGACTGCCTCCCCTACCCTGTAACTCCCAGTCCCCACTCCACCTCAAGAATCTAGCAGCCCCATGCCACCCAAGGGAGAGCCCTCTGTATCCCCAGCTATGATTGGCTCCAGGGAGGACCTGAGTCATCCCGGGGCTGGAGGTCAAGCTGGAGGATGGGGGTGGGAGGCCTTGGTGAGGCCTTGGGGGACGGCTTGTTCCTGCCAGAGAGCTAGTCACGGGAGTTTCCAAAGCTGCGAGGCCATCAAAGCAGGAAAACACCGGACACCTTGGACATGGGCTGGACCCACCACCCCCACCCCTCTAGAGTCACCCCCCCATCCCAGAGTCCCCGTCCCGCGCAGCTGCTGTAGGGGTATTTATAGCCTGAGCGTGAGGGAGCAAGGACACGCGCTTTATTTCGGAAGCGATAATTCCAGTTCCAGGTGGACGAACCCGGGAGAACCCAGTGTCCCTTCACCCACTCCACTCTCCCCGCCAGGGCGCTCGGGACAGGCCCTGCTGCCACCCAGCCCACCTAGAAATGGCCCCTTCTTAGGCCTCGGTGTGTGGGCCAGAGGCGTGGGGCTATTCTTTCAGATCCCTCCCTCCAGTTTTCAGACCTCGGGCTGCACACCACCAACCCTCCACGTCCACAGGCCCGCTCTCCGACCCGACGGGTGTTTAAAACTTCAATGCCTTTCGGGGAGGAGAGAGCACGGTGCGGCGCTGACCTCTAGTGATCCAGGCAGGTAATGCAGAGCGACGGTCGTGCCTGAACCGAGGGTCCCAGGCCAGGCAGGGGCGGACCACCTGAATTCCCATCCCCTCTTTGCCCTCCCTATCCTGTTCCGCCGGGGTGGGAAGGAAGCCCCGAAACTGGCTTCTCGGCGCCTTTTTGCTCCATCGCTGGGGCGCGAGGATTGCGCCTGGCAACCCAGGCGTCTGAGGGTAGCTGCCTTCCCACCGGACTAGGAACCCAAGGAGGTGGGGGACAGAGTCTTGTCTCTCACTCCGCACACCGTGTCCACACTCCCGCCACCATAGGCACAGGGCCAAGCATGCAGTTGATGTCTCTTCCACCGATCTGTTCGTCAAATATTTGTGGCGCACCTGCCAGGCCAGAGATAAGAGGACACGACCCTGCCCTCCCGGGGCTCCCAGGCCAGTCCTGGCGCCTGACGGTGTACCTTGCAAGGCAGCGTGAACTGTGTCGGGACTGCAGGAAACACTGGGCCGTGAAAGCGCAGAGAAGACCAAACCCATCCGGGGCGGGGATGGGGGTCGGGCAAGTCCGTGGAGGAGGCGAGGATCTGAAAGACAAGTAGAAGTCAGCTCGGCAAAGAAGCCGAGAAAGGCATTTCAGGCAAGGGGTCAGCGCTGGCACCGCACAGCATTAGAACTGGCGCCGTGGACCTGGGAACGAATGGCGGCTAGCTGCGGGACTGGAGAGTGGGGTGAGGCCCCGCCCCCTCGGGGCGCTAGGGCTGTGATTGGCCAATAGAGATGTGTTGGCTAGCTGGCGCCTTGATTGGCCAGTCCCAAGGGAGGGGGCTGAGCCTCCCTTCCTCCTCCCCCCGCACCCCCCCCCCCCCCGGCAGGTGCAGAGTCCCCTGGGAGCAGGGCTGGGGTCTCAGCTGGTCCCTCCTAGGGCTTCTCCAGGCTGCGATACTTCTTGCGCAGCACGGACACCGAGTCCTTGAAGAGCACTGGGTCCAGACGGAGGCGAGAGGACACCAAGGGCATGCGGCCGAACCCTGCCGCCAGCTGGTTGATGCAGTCGCGGACTGGGGGCTGCGGCTCCAGCCTGGGCCCCCGGCCCTCAGGCGCCTGAGAGAGAGAGGAGAAAGGCGTTGGAGGGTTCTCTGTCCTTCCGACACTCCTCTGTCCCCGCGGCAAAAAGGATTGGAGTAGACGGTGAGAGGGAATCCTCCCTCCCTTCCCCACGCAGTGCCCTCCCAGGGCCGATCTGTCTCCCTGGATCCTCACCAGTGGAGGTCTGGCCTCCTGGTTCTGCTTCCTATATGGCACCTTGATAGGGGGCAGCTTGGTGACAGTCGCTACTAGGAAGTTCATCAGGACGTCCACACAGGTGGGTGCTTCATCTGCCAGGGTCCTCAGAGCCTTGGGCAGGGAGTGAGTGAAGAGTGTGTGGTAATACCTGGGAGAGGGAAGAGGACAGGGAGAGGCTGCAGCCGAGTTCACCCCCCCCCCCAGGCCCCCTTCTCTTCCCTCTCCCTTTCAGCCCAATCCCTAAGCTTTCGAAAGCCCTGCCCCCCTCTCTGAGCCCTGGCCACCCCAGAGAGCTCCCGCTCCAAGTACAAACTGCCCTCCACTGTTCCATGCTCGGTGGCTTATCTGCAGCCAATGGTGTACTCCCTGCCCCTCTCTCACAGCTCCTTGGGGCCCCCACCCCTGGGCTCTGAGGTCTGAACTCAGACAGAGCCACATTGAGGGGAGGATCAGCTGGTTCCAAGGCCATCAAACATGGCAGTCCCAAGACCAGTTTCAGGAAGGCTGTGGGTTCACCAGGCTGCTGCTGCTCCACGTGAGCCTTGCTTCTCACAGCCCACCCTGCAGACATTAGGGGCATTCTTCACTCTACTGAGAATTTCCTGCAGAGCTCCTAGGTAAATCTACAAGAGGTTCCAGGTTACACACATTTGGTTTAAACATGTTTAAGGAACTCCTCTAAAGAGGCCCTCCAGAATTCAATCCCTGTCCCAAAACCAGGGCGCATCAGGCAGCTTCTAGAAGGCCTGGAACAGTCCCCAGTCCATCACACACACATTTATAAAGCATCAGTTCCATTCTCTTGTCACTCCCTGCCCCACCAAACCCAGACCCTGTCCATACCCTCTGCATGGCTCTACTTAACACCAGCTACCATTTGTTGACCATCTGTGTGCCAAGGACTTCTTTTGGTTTTCTCATTTGATTATCACACCAGCCGTGTGAGGTGAATACATTTTACAGAAGAGGAAACTGAACCTCAAGAGAGATGAAGAGACTTGTCCATCACACAACTGGGAAGTGGCACATCTGGGTCTTGACCCTGGATCTCTGGGCTCTAGGCTGATTGCTGTGTTCACTCCCATGCCACCCTGCTCCTGGGTCAAAGAGGGGGACTCTGGCCCTCTGATCCCAGTGCCAGGGCCATCATCTGTACCTATGGTAGAAGGCAGCCGAGGTGAGAACCATGGAGAATTCGTTGGCCCTCTCAGCAGTGTAGCCCCAGCCACCTCGGGCCTCATCCCAGAAGTGGCTCCACGTCAGAAAGCCCACCATCCGCTCCGGGAAGCTCTGCCACACCACAAAAGCAAAGTCCACCTGGGGAGATATTTAAGTGAGCTGTGAGGAAGGACTTCCCAACCAGCCAGGAACATCCAGAGATATGGAGACAAGGCCAGCCTGGCCAAGGGGACTCAGGGGAGAAGAGATGGGAGCATGA